TTTCATATTATATTATTTGAAAATAAATAAAATAAAACAAATTATAGTTTTTTATTCTTATTTTAGAAGCACAAATCTCTAATTTAATTTTATATTTTATTGCACTATTGATAATTATCAAATAAAAAATAAGTATAAATATATAAATTAAATTAAAATATTTTATAAAAAAATTAAACAATAGTGTTTATAATATACAAGAGGGTATATTTACAAACCAGCTAAAGACTTTAAAGAAAATTTTTTTGATAGTAATATGCTACTTTTTTTATATAAATTGATTTAATTAATTTAAAATATGTATATTGTTAAAATTTATATATTTTGTTCTAATATATTCAAATTAATTTTGATTTAATTATATTTAAATGTGACAGCCAATTATAAATTAATAAAAAATTAGTCTAAGAATAAATAAATCATTGATACTTTATTAAAAATGTTATTCACATATCAATCAACACAGACTACAAAATCATTTTAATAAATATCATTTTCATTAAATTTCATAAATTATAACGACATCATCTTCTTACATTTTGCTTTAAAAAATTCTCATGTATAAAAACATTCAAAGAAAATATATATATGTTCTTTTAAAAAATTATATCCATAAAAAATATTTCCATTTTTTTGAAAAATACTTGGTAGTAAAGATTGCTTAAAATTTTAAGTATTAAAAAAAAAACTTTTTTAACATCAACATCAATCAGACTTCAAAAGAATAAAATTTATCTTTTTAAATATAGATTGTTTTGACACTTTTGTTTTAATCTATTGTTCCTTATTGCAATATAGTATTCTCCTTCGTTCTATTAGAATGTTCTACCTATCCAAACCTTTGTACATGTCTGTTTGTTTGTTTTAACTTTGAGATGTTTAGAAAATATTTCCTTAGGATAAATTTAATCATCCCCTTATTGCATTGCATCATGCAGAGATTGCATTTTACCATGAACAATGCTTATTGGCGAATTTGTTTATCTTTTTCACTTAAAAATAATTATGTTTAAATAAAATTCTTATTATGTATTGATGAATTCATTTGCATAAAGGAACGCTTCTAAATTGTCTATGAGAATTTATTCTAGCAATTGTTATTTTTGTGGAGCATTTTGTTCCTATGCATATAATTCTTAATTTTGGACAATATAAATTTTTAGTGAAATTTTAAATCATGAAAAATCTATTGAAGATCATAATAGACAATATTGTTTTTGAATTTGTTATTTAAATTTATATTGACCATCTTGTAAATGTTTACATATTATCAGATCTCAGCAGCATGGAAACTTTGATCCTTATTAATTGTTTATGAAAGAAATGTTATTTTTAGGAATATATAAACGTTTTCACTTTGTATAATTAGTTTGAGATTAAGGCTTAGTGCCTCTCAAAGAGAATGAAAATAAAGATAAATGCACCTAGAAAATAAAGTCATATTTTTTTTTATAGACAAAACATATATTATTAGAGAGAGTTCAAAAGGAACTCAAAACCCATATACACAGAAAAAAAATTACTAACTCAAAGAAATAAAAAGTAAAAATATACTTATACAAAGTTAAGACGGATGTAATTTTGTGGGTTCAAATATCAATCAGCTAACAAAATAGCTTCTCCCTTACTAACAATTGATAGCCATTTTCAGGACCTCAGAATAATAGAACCTAGAACTTCTCTCTCATCCAAAACACCAATGAAAAATAAAATTCTATTTATATGTAATCACACTATACCTACCCAAATAATTAATAAGCACATCATTTCTTTTTTACTACCGCCAACACCAATCCAAAAAAGCTAGTGAGTCGATATATTTGAAGGCAAAACTAATAAAAAAATAAAGTCATATTACATATAATTAACTCACTTATAAGCACTACAATCATCATTGCAGGCCTTTTGTCACTTGGGTCTATTTTGGATACTCCTTTTTCCTTTTTAATGGGACTAGTATAGCTTTCCACTTGTTGTATTTGAAAGCCCATTAAGAGATTTAGATTCTTTTTCCTTCCTAATATTTGTTCTTCGATAATAAATATATATTTTAGAGTATTTTTATTACATATTTTTATATGTTTAATTTTTATTTAATAAATGTTTTATTTATTATAAACCATCACAAATCATTTATTAATAAATTAAAGAATTATTTTAATCACAATTAATTTTTTTAATAAAAAGTAAGACTATACACGTAAAAAAACATAACCTTACTTAATAATAATTTAGAAATGTTTCGTGACTATACATTACCTTGCTAAAGAGTATGTACGATTTGATATAACTATTTAAAAATTTTAATTTTAAATTTAAATTTCTAATAACAGAAAATTATATATTTATTAAAGATAAAACATATATTTAGGAGACCAAATTATAAGTTATGTATTCTACATCTTATATAAAAAAGTGTGACACACTTGGAAAAAAAAAACACATCTTTTCTCTCAAGAATCTTTTAACTTAAACATTTATTATCTAATCAATTTGTAACGGTTTTAAAAGTTATTTGGAAGCAGAGATTATCCGTAAATACCTATAATTTATTTTTGAAGTAGATAAAAAAACATTTTGAGGAGAAGAACTTTTCTCAATTTTTTTTAAAAGATTTCTTAATTCAAATAATATTATATATATATATATATACGTCGATGAGGAGTTGACGCTAGCTAGCTCTTTCCTTTAGTGTGCTGCACATGCTCAATATTATATTCCACATTTTAATATATTCATATTAACATCAGCTCCACCCATTAAATGGAATTTCAACAATGCGTTGCCCACATGCATTGCGTTCATAAACAATCATTTCACATAACATGTTTCAATAAAATAAAAATTATTTATTACACAAAACATGCACTTGCTTTTTTCTTTTTATCCCAATAATACAACTCTAAAAATATGTTATTAATCGGCATTTTGACGATACCATTTAAGAAATAGATAAATGGTATTTTTTAAAAATTATTTAATATATTATATTAAAATTACAAGTGTAAGGAGTTTTACCTTTTTTAATTAATATTTTTAATTTTTAACTAATTTTTAGAAGTACTGGTCAGTTTTTTTAAAATAATTTAATGTATTGCTCAATATCCTTATTTATAATTTAAAATTGATTAGTGGAGAAATTATGCATATAATGTAATCTGACAATTAAGAAGGAATCTATTTTTCGCTTTAAAAACATTACTAACTGTTTGCTTATATACAAGTTCTAATTTCTTTTTCGAGATTTCTGATGCACCTAAATTGACATTTCTTTAATAATAATAATAAATCCACTTTCATCTATCGAAGATTTGCCATGCGTTTACAAACAAGTCCTAAAAGAATCATATCCACTTTTCATTTTTTATGATAAAAAAAAGAAAAAACATTAATAACCATCATTTAAAGTGGTGATCATATCACAGAGTCAATAAAAAAAATAATGCTGGCTTTCACGTTGCAATTCAACTATGTAACAAATTATGCTATAAACAAATGGTTATATTATTTTACCATAATTTAATAAAAGGGAAATTTGGAAAACAAATTTTCTGGACATATCCCTCTAAATTTGTTATAAGGGGTGAGATGTTTTTAACAATGGCAAAAGTGAAACAGTAATAATGGCTCCTGTTCATACTTTGTTTTATGAAGAAATTATTGTGCAGTACGAGTTTATGAGCTTGACCAATTATTACACAATACATAGCCATATTTTGTTGTTAATGTGCCAAAGTTATTAAAAAGTAATCATGTATTATGTGATAATTAATCAGAACAAAAAATAAACAATGATCTTAGCACCATAAAATAATCTTCCCATTTCATGACAATGTTAAAAAGAAATACAAATTAGTCAGATTGAAATTAGCCAATTTCAGACAACATATTTGGTTTAACCAAACTATAAAAGTGGGTTTAAATAAAAAGTCATTCTCCCTCAATTTTCAATCTATCCCATTTCAGGTCAAACACACAAAGGTTAAGTGAGCAACCTGAACCCTGATTCTCTAATTGCTATGTAAATCTGATGGTACCATTTAATTTCCTGGATTTAATAACTAAAGAGAGTCATGGCATTTTTTATTTTATTTTATATAACATTGTAAGAAATATTATATATAATTCTTTTTATTTTTAATTTTCTTTTATATACGTGTGTATGTAGGTGTATTTTAAAAATATACTTTGAAGAAAAAGAAAAAACCTTATCCATTTTGATGATCACAAAAACATTTTCCAACCATGCACGAGGTCTTAGGCTTTCCATCAACTTCCTCATAAAGGCACACCGCATGAAAGAAAACATCACCTGTGAATTATGACTTATTAGCATTTCACACATAGTATACCTTTGCCATTTTATGAGTTCATCCAAAATAAACACACCACACCTGCAAAAGCATTTGAAAATTGATAGTGAAGAATCCTTGGAAAATTTTTATGGCTTCCAAGCCTGTCCCTAAAGCCACTGGCATCAAACTAAAGTAATAAAAAAAAGGCATCCCAAAGACAAAGGAAGCAGTAACCAAAAAGGAATAATAGACATAAACCCAGTAACAAGTAAACTTTATGAAAGCCTATCAGCTGCAAGCCATGTGCTAAAAGTATATGCAAAAGCAACAAAAACATGCACTCATGTCCATCCCCTTTTATCTTTCTTTAACTTTCCAGCTTCTATTATTTTTTATTTTAAGGTACCATTCCAGCTCTGCAATCCCCTGCACATAGATCATCATGATCAAATTTATTTCTAGTTAACATGTGGTCTCCCTCTAGATATAAAGTTATCAATTTCGTCTAACCTATAAATACAACTTTATTTAATGTCTAATATTGTGGGATCAAGCAAGAATGTTACTTTCCTTATTATACTTTATCCAATCCTAATAATGTGGCATCCCCCACCATATGTGCATTGGCATATATATTAATATAGTTTAGGACAATCTCACTGGGAATTTGTCAAAGCTTTCTTTCTTCTCAAGTTGGTAATTGAGATGGGTTTCACTGGGGTGTTAGTAAGAAGTGTCTTCTCCAAAAATCGTTCTGTTGGATCTCATGAAATCAAAGTGAGTCTCTTAAGTTCCATAGCTTCTCTCTCTCTTTTTCTTTCTTTCTTCTCTTTATGTTGCATTTGATTGTGAAATACTAGTGAAGAAGCACAAAACAGTTTTATTAGCTCAATTTTCTAGTTCCAGTTAGTGCTGTTCTTACTCATTGATTTCACCGTGGAATCTGAATAAACCAGCTTTGAATTATGCCATGCTAACAGGTGAAACGCAATGGAGCTGAAAATAGAAGATGGGTATCTGTTAGATCATACTTGTGTGGTGATGAATTCAATTCAGTGGTTGCTGAGGAAGATTCAGCTTCAGTTAAGAGCTCTGAAGTCACGGTTACACAGTCCATAGAGGAGGACTTGACTGATAAAGGAGACACCAAGAGTGAAGAAACTGTAGAGAATGTAACACAAGAAAGGACAAATTCATCATTGAATGAGGAGGAAGCAGCTATTCTTATTCAGTCAGCATATAGAAGCTTTCTGGTTAGCTCACCAAACTTTAATTGCATCAATTTGGTTTTACTTATGCAACAAAGTCAATTTTCCAGCCCTCCCTTTTTTTTTATCCCATTTCCATCCTCAACCATTTTGAATATTTAATGCAAAAATGCCACCAGCTGCTAGTTAGAACTATAGGATATAATGATATATTTAATAAGAGAAATATATACAACCCTGTAACATAACTTTTTTATTATTAACCAAAATTTAACAAGACTAAAAAATAAAATCATTTAAAATTTATTTTTATTTAATAAGTCTCTTGTATAATTTTAATTTTGTAAATTTTAATAAAATTTAGCTATTAATAAAATTAAAAAGAACATAATTAAAAACGTGTTATTAGCATTTTTCATTCAATATTTACATGATTAATGTATTTGACACTTGCATAAGGAATATTTTTTGCTTATTAACCTCATTAGTATGTTGCACATTACAGTTGAGGCGACAAAATGAAGAATTGAGATCGAAAACTGGTAAAGAGTTCAATTTAGCAACAGAAAGTCCAGACAGAAAATCCATGAGCACATCAATTGAAGTCCAAACTGGGCAATCCACGGATGTTTTGTCAGTTGAAGGAGAAAAAATGAGCATTTGCCACCGTATTCAGCGCAGAACCAGAACTCAAGTAATAAAGCAGAAGGTATAACATAAGAAAATGATGTTTTGTTAACTAACACGTGATATTGGTTAAAGAAGAAAAAGATAAGTTGAAATATGCTGAACCGAATAAGTTCATAAGAACTGGACAAAGAAATTAGAGAGAATTACCGTTTAAGATATCTTCCTCAAGATATATTAAACTTAAGATGATTAACTAAAAGTGTGGTTAATATTGTATTAAAATTTTCTTTTAAAAAAGCAAAATAAAAAATAGTGATAAAAACTAGGTAAAGAAGGTCAACATGTTAACTTGATTAATGATCCTTTAGATTAATTTATTCTACATTCCAATATCATGTTTGGTAAGGATTTAAGTTGAAAAAATAATCACTTGTTCCTCAAAATGTTTTTCAATAAAAATTATACAAAATAAGTAGTAAATATTTAAAATTAAGTTAAACCAAAAACACATTAAGACTTTTAAGACTTGTATGTGATGTTAATGTTGTAAATTTTATAAGTATTTGAAAAATTTTATGAAAATAGCTTATAAATTTAATAATTTTTTAAATAAGTTTTTCTGTATAGTTTATTAGAATAATTTTTTTGAACCTATTTAAAAAAATTATTAAATTTATGATATAAGTTTCCATAGAATAAATTTTTTAAAATAAATATTTAATTAAACTATGTTCCAAACGTTCCTTTTATCTTCCACTTGACCATTTTTTTCTATTTATTCGTTGCATCTCCAACCTAACCAAAAGTCAAAGATACCTAGATATACCTTAATTGGTAACTCAACAAGCAGTTCGCTTCAGGCACCATGGTACACTTTTTTAAATATGAAATTTAAAGCATGCAAGGATTATTTATGAACAGGGTAGGTTGTATAATTACAGCAAAGATCCAAGGTTGGAGCATGGATCCATAGGGTAATTACTACATATTGCGCATTATTGAAGCATTTATATGAGTCTGAACTTTAACTAAGCCCCATTAAATTGGCTATAATTTAATATTATTCAAAATTTTGTTAAGCTGCCTAATAATATAGACTTTTTCAGGAAGACTGGGATGATAGCACGGTAAGTAGTTATGTTTCAAAAATGAGGATGCAAAACAGGATGGAGGCAACAACCAGGAGGGAAAGGGCACTTGCTTATGCTTTCTCACAACAGGTAAACATTGAGGCTCATTTTAAATAAATGTTTCCAAAAAGTAAAATTAAATTGAACTTCTTTCATTTATCAAATCAATTTATGCACATCAGTTTGTAAAACATTTAGATGACAAATATCTAAAAAGATTGATAACATATGTGAAAATGTTTATTTATTTATTCTCTGGCAAGTATTAATTAAGAAGTTTATTCAAATTGAATTTAAATACTATATCACTTAGGAAAAGGATATAAGGTAGAATCAGAGTACTGATCCTATTTGTTACAGTTAAGAATCTGTTCAAAGAGGAAATTGACAAAACACAATAGCATGGAACCAAATATGAGTTGGAGCTGGCTTGAGCGGTGGATGGCAACACGCCTTCCAGAGACCTCATCAGTTGAAAGCAATGTGTATGACCCTTTTAACAGTAATCACAAAGTCACTGTCAAGACAAGATTTTTAGATGCTGCTGGTGAAGAAAAAGAGAGCTGTGGATCCAATGAAGTGCCCCTTCATTTTGATAACTATTCTATAAATTCACAAGAAAAAGTTAGCTTCAAATCACCAACATCAAAGACCAACTTTAAAGCTAGGAGAACTGTGTCAAGGAGGAAAACAGTGCCAAGTTATCAATGCCATGAAGAGCAGCCAAAGGTCAGAATCTCTTCATAAACTCACATGCCATAAAAGCCAAGCATTACAAATTCATTATTATGATATTTCCTTCCTCAATGATTTTTAAATAGATATATGGTCATGGTCATGATCACGAAAGATATGATTAGTGTGCATGAGTATGTTGCTTGTGCATGTCCATCAATGCCAGGTTCTAAATATAGTTTTTATGCTTTTACAGATATGCAAGAGAGAGAGTTCAAGCAATTCTAGCAAGGATGTTAAGGAAAAACAAAAGCAAGTAGGAAGCAGGACAGAAATTACATTTAGCACCTCCAAAGCTTCTCATGTGTAACTCCTAACAATAAAAAGTCAAATCATGTGTCTAGTATTGAGATGTAATGGTTGGATTTTCTTGTAGATTCTTGATTTCATAATCTGATTGTACACTGTACATAGAGTATGCAGGATTGAGATGGCTGTTATGACGAGTTGCTTAATTTATCCATGATTAAGTTGTAAAATCAATATAATAACAATTAGTTGCAAATTGATGAGACACGCAGGTTGAAATGAGAATGGTTAATATTAAAATCCAACTATGCATATTACATCATACCAAACAAAAGTGTGTTGAAATCAGATTTGAATAATATAAAAAACAAAAATATTTTTTGAACATCTCAAGGAAGACCCAGCTAAACGTATCCCTTAATATTCTGGGTTATATTTTTTTAATGTATAACATAACAACAAAACAAAAAGACCGTTTTCATTTTGATTGAGGAATAAGCTTCCCACCTTATATTTTGGACATGCACTATCTGATTAATATCTCAGAAACAGTTTCTCGCTGCCCTCCCTAGCAGAATACATTTGAAAATTGCCGTAGTTATAAATTGCTTAAGAACCCCCAATTACGGGACTATACTATTCTTCTTTAAGAATAATACTTTTAAACATAATTTTATTTTATTATTGATTAATATTTATAAAAATAATAAATATAAATAAAAATTATTAAATTAAGATTATAATTAACATAATTTTTAAGAACTTTTTATCTAACAGTGAAAAAATATTTAAAAAATATATCAGAGAATCTGTTGGTAAAGTAACGATTCTCTGTTCATAGAACCAAACACCCCCAATGAAGGCAGAGACAAGTGTGAGGGTGATTTAGACTTTTCACGTCCTCTGCAAGTGTTTTTGAGTCATTGGAAAGAGTTTGTCCCTTGTACGTCTTTCCCTATGGAAGCTTTGCCTTGCAACAGATGATCAACTCCAATTTTCACAACCCCATGGCACACAAAATGTCACCTTTCTTTGTTCTGCTTCTATTAGCCTCTTCCTTGATCCATGGGTATGCTCAATTTCAACCCAAAAACGAAGCTTTTATATCCTTGTCGATTACCCAAAATGGCCTTGATTTTGTGAAGGACTTGCTGGTAAACAAGGCAATTTCCTCATTAGTTTCACTCCGATTGCCCAATATTGAAAAGACTTCGAAGATCCCAGTTGTGGGTAATGTGTACATGGTTCTTTCCAACATCACTATTTATCAAATCGATGTTCCTTCATCGCATGTCAAGCCTGGGGAGACTGGGATTTCCATTATAGCTTCTGGGGTTACTTGTAATTTGAGCATGAATTGGTATTACTCTTATAATACTTGGCTTGTGCCTGTTGAGATTTCTGACAAAGGTAGAGCAGAAGTTCAGGTATGAAATTCATCCTTTGTTTTGTTTTTGTTTTTTAATATGTATTTAGAGAATTATGCTTTTTGTTAAGTAGCAAAATTGTGTTGTTATTTGAAACATAGCCTTATGAAGGAGGAAGGTTAGTTTGTTTGGTTCACTTCTTGTTTGTCGTTTCATCGGAATTTTAAGTGGTGCTGTTGTAAATGGATGGTTTGTAACTAGTTTTCTGGTATGAATTGTGATTTGAAGGATACTGTGTCATTTTCAGTTGTGGGTTTGATATCTAATTGTGTTAACTTATTTAATTATAAATTGCACTATGGCACTTAGGATGGAATTTATATGTGGTATTCTTGTTTTACTTATTTTATTTTATAGCAAGTTAACTTTCTTATGTTGTTAAGTTATCCAATATCTTGGTTGTTCTTGTTTGCTTGGGCTCAAAATGATACCTATTTCTCGCTACTATTTTTTTTCTGTTTTTCTCTGTTCATCTTATTCATGGCTGTAATCAGAAGGATTTTGATAATTGCTACTGCTGGAAAGGTTGAAGGCATGGAAGTTGGACTTGCATTGGGTTTGGAGAACCAGGAAGGGTCTTTGAAGCTGAAACTGAAGGACTGTGGATCTCATGTTAAAGATATTTCAATAAAATTAGATGGAGGTGCATCTTGGCTTTATCAAGGGTATGGAAATATCCATACTAGATTCTAGCTCATTAATGATTATAGGTTTCATACTTCCTTTATCTTTTGTTGCACCATATTACTGTGTTGGCCACCACTTTTAAGTGTAGATGGCTTATTTTTCCTTCTTAATGATATATTCTCAAATGCTTAAGTGCCATATGCAATGTTAATACTAATGCGTTATTAGTTCACCAGAATAAGCCATGTGCAACCATTTAGTTCTGAGGTTATATTTTAGTACACAGTCCTAAATGCCAAGCAGTCCAACTGGGAAAAAACATCATTAGGCATAGAGCGAACCTCATGGCCAAATGGCAAACCCATAGTATCTCATACTTGGATATTTGTTGCTCAATTATATATGCCGCATTCTAGGCATACTGAATCAAGGTGGCGCATGGCCTAACCATGTATCCTAAAATTAAGAGTCCACCTTATCTTTTAATTGTCTATTTAGTTCGTATGCATATTCTATCAACATGTTACTCAGTTTCACAAATAAAGTCCACTAGACTAGCACTGCATGACATCTGGAGAAATTTCATTTGCTAGCTTGTTCATCTTAGTCTAGAATTGTCTTTCATTCTTATCCAGTTGAATCTCTTGTTTTCTTAATAGTCTCCCTTCAACAGAAAATAAGTCTCAAGAGCATAGAACAAAGTGATGAGACATTTATTCAAGAGTACATTAACTTGAAATAGGCTTGACTTCAAATTGTGGAAAGCATATATACTGAATGTGATAATTATTGTACCATATCCACAATTTCAAATTATGTGATGTTAAAAGAATCTTCCCTTTGCAATCAACTACTTCAGACTGGTCACTTATTTCTAGCCTAGAAACATTATCCCTAATTCCCTATCATCACCATCATGTTCTAATATTGTATTATTTAAAATGGGATGAAAATATATCATTAGATATATGTTCTTATAGTTAATGTACTCTGAAATTTTGTAAGTAAAAGTATTTGGAGGTTTCCGGCATATTTAAATTTTACCATCATTTATTCACACATTCCCTTGAGACCCTTATCTGGCATAAAATGATTCTATGGTTCTTTGACTTTTAGTTTTGCTTCATATCTAACAGGATAGTAGATGCTTTTGAAGGGCTGATTGGATCAACAGTGGAAAATGCTATCAATAAGAAACTTACTGAAAGGATTTCAAGACTTGACTCATACTTGAGAAGTCTTCCAAAGGAGTTTCCAGTCGATGATCACACTTCATTGAATGTAACCTTTGTCAATGATGTTTTATTTAGTGATTCATCAGTTGGATTTGAAACCAATGGTTTATTTATAGAAAGAAGTGTTTCCCTACCTATTCCTGACCTCTATGACAAGAACTCAAAACTTCCAATTCTCTGCACAAATTCATCAAAAATGCTTGGAATCTCTTTAGATGAGGCTGTTTTTAATTCGGCATCATCCTTGTATTATGATGTAAGTTTGGGTTTTTGGTTATGATCTTAAAGGATGTACTTTTTTAAAATATTATTTTTGTATCACTGGATTGGTGTCACTGAAATTGCTTTCTGTGTTCAGGCGAAGTTTATGCACTGGATTGTGGACCAAATACCGGATCAATCTCTACTGAACACTGCAGGATGGAGATTTATTGTTCCCCAGCTGTACAAGAAATACCCAAATCATGACATGAACTTGAATATATCTTTATCTTCTCCTCCAGTTGTGGAGATTTCAAATCAGAATGTTGGTGCCAATGTATTTGCAGACTTAACAATTGATGTTCTAGAAGAAGACGAAGTAATACCAGTGGCGTGCATCTCATTGGTAGGGTCATTAATATCTAAATTAATCACCTCTATTGTCATAATTTATTTATGTGTATTCATTTTTCATCACCATTATGATATTACTTGGTTCTTACTATACTTAAGTTTATTTAATGATTTGGTGGGATGTAAATGGGGCTCTGCATATTGGAAGCTATAGAATGAATAATTTTTCTATTCTAAAAGCTTAACTGTACAAATTTGTGCAGCCTTCTTTTATACTCTTCTTTTTATATAAAAGGAAGCTAATCCATATCTGTTTGGTTAATACTGTCATTCATCTAAAAGCCTAGTTAATCAATCTTTCACTCTGCTGGACTGACTTGTCCATGGTCTTAGGATGTTTTAGTTATGAAGATTGAAGACTATTTGTGTTTGCCCTGAATATCTAACTCGTTAATAATTATCAGTTTCAGGAATTACAAGGAAAAAAAAGAAAAAAAAATTGGATTCCCATACATTGGTGATGCATGCATAAGTAGCATCAAGAAAGGCTGATTTTGAAGATCCAATCATTTGCAGTTTAATTTATTTTTTCATATTGGAGTTAATTTATATTCAAAAGACTTGCTATCTTATCTTAGTTATGTAGGTTTATTAGTGTTAATAAAGTGTTAATTTTATATTTGTGTGTGTGAAATATATTTTCTCCAGATACAATGTGTATATATCTCACTGGCGGCTTGCATAAGGGGCATATAATTAAAGTATAGGCAGCTTAAAAAAAACTAAAGCTGAGATTGAATGGTAAACTATGTTAGCAATCTTATGATGTCAGTAGTTTTATTGGGAGTTGCTTATACTAGGTGTACTATGAATTTTCAAGTATAAATAGTTATCAGTGGTTTGCACTTTGCATCACACGAGACACCGTATCATCATCAGATACCAAGTATTCAGAGTCTCTTCTCTCCTTTTCCATGCATCTTAACCCCATAATTTAAACATGACATTGGAGTAATGCCACCCTCCATGACCTAATCCTGTCACTTATACAACTTCTGGTTCCAAAAATTCATATCAGATCTTGTCTTTCTTCCTATCTGTGTACGACTCACAATAATTTGTTTGTGACTAATATTGTTCTTTTACAATGAAAGACCACTAATTGCTATATTACATCCTGTTTACACAGGTAATTCAAGGCACGGGTCTGGTCAAAATCAATGGAAACAACCTCGTTGGTGCTGTTAAATTGAATGACTTTAACATGTCATTGAGATGGAGCAATATTGGCAATCTGCGGATGTACCTGATTCAGGTGACTTTATGCTGTATATAGTGCATAAAAATGTAATTTTAAAATGTCTCTTATTGATAAAGGGTGTGTAATTCTTTCCTTCCGCAGCCAGTTGTGTGGACGCTTATTGAAACTGTGTTCTTGCCATATGCAAATGCACATCTCAGTAAAGGGTTACCTTTGCCCATCATTCATGGTTTCACCTTACAAAATGGGGAGATAATATTGTCAACTTCAAGAGTTGCAGTTTGCAGTGATCTAGCATTTGCAGCAGAATCAAACAAGCGTTTCTTCGATATTTCAATGATTAGATAAAAAAAAGTGTTTTGTAAATGGATTGTAAATATTTCAAGTGAGAAACTAAGATTATAAATCAACCTGTGTAACATTTCATTTGTACTTGTTTACGTGATGGGTCAACCATCTATTCAAACTTTGATACGAATAGTTGCATCATAAGTTATCATGTAAATAGATGTTTTCTCATGAAAAAGGACATACTGTGTAACCTAAATATCTCAATTTCAATAAATTCTTACGGATCAATACTATGAATAAATAGTTTTAATGGAGAATCAACAACTTTGGGCCTGGTTGTTTGAGCGTTTTACACTCCCGTTTTTGGTGCCTTTCAAAATAAAATTTTAGAAAGTATTAGTTATTTTCAAAAATTAAATTTTAGAAATCACTTTTAAAATTTAATTTTTGGGTGGTATGATATCACACTTATTAAAAGTATTTATCTTGCTTTGGTCGAATAGATATTGTCAAATTTAATTTCCCGAGAATTTGTAGTGAAATTGGGTGTGCTAAAATTGAACTCAAATCTTGACTTTTAACAGAGCTGAAATGATTAGATGAACCAATTTTTTATATTCTTTTTGTTAAGCAAATAAAGATGGGAAGGCTTCATTGCCCTGAGCCTCGTTGAAGGTGCTTACCTTGTTAAGAAAATTGATGGCTGCCAGTTCAATTTGATACCCAATTTACATGTTCATACATACTCTTTTGAGTTGGATGGGGTGATTGGGTACGACAAAGTTAAGAAAGATAACTTCATTTGAAATTAATTGACGTATTTAGTGGTATCAAGTCTAAAAAAACTGTTTTGATATTTCATAATTAAAATAAAACTTAAAAATACTTTAATAAAAGTTATATCATAAAATTATTTTTTTTAAAATGGTATAATAGACATTATTAAAATTTAAAATCGGATCAACGTAGGATTCCCACATTAGATACTAAAATGTAACTCTTGTACATTAGAGAAATATTTAATCTTACTGACATTAACGTGTTATTCTATTTAGATAAGTAACAAGTTTGATTTATAAAACAAATGAATAATATTACTTATTTAACATCCTTTTTTTTTTATTACATTGCATCATCGGTCATATTTATAATTTTTTTTTATTTCTGTTCTTATATTTCTCTAAGTGTAAACATAATCATTTTTCTCAAAATTGGAAAATGAATTATTAAAAACAAAAAACAAAAAATGTTTTACAAAGGTCAAAACGACTGCGTTAAGCAAGTTAACCTTATCCTCCACCAGACCCCCACAAAAGCAAAAACTGGTGGTTCAAACAGACACCAACGTTTCTAAAACCCAGATTAAACCCTCCTCTCTATTCCTCTTTCTCTGTTTCAATTCTCAGGCAATAATGCAAATTTCTCTTAGCAATTTAGCTTTCAAAACCCCTCAACTATTTCCAATTCACCAACCCATATTCCCTCCAAAGCCACCGAACCACCAAGTTTCGTTGCAAACCCAAGTCAATTTGCTTAGAGGGTCAGGGTATTTGTCAGAAATCAGCAAAGCAATTGATCACGAAGAACAGTACCGTATAGCCCGGTCACAGGTTAACCGGAAAGTTTTGGACTTGGAAGGTTATTCCATTGAGGGCGTCTCAATTGGAGGCCAAGAGACATGTATCATAATCCCTGAGTTCAAGTGTGCTTTTGATATTGGGAGGTGCCCCTCCAGAGCTATTCATCAAAATTTCCTTTTTATTACTCATGCTCATCTTGATCACATTGTAAGCTCCTCCAATTTTGTTGCCACTCAAGTTTAAGTGGTGTTGTTTCTTTTTCTTTTTGCTTATGGATTAGTGGAAAGGGAAAATGAAAATGAAAATGAAAATGAAAATTACACATGGCCCATGTTATCTTGGTAGAAAAACCAAAAAAAATTGTTTTTTGTTTTTGTTAGAACTTAGGCCTATTTATCTTTGCAAGGTTTAACATTGTAAGAACAATTTAGCTAATCTAATGCTGGCCTTTCTTTTGGGATTTCACTAATCACAGTGTGTCTTACTTATTGTGAATTGTGAATGTGCTATGGCATTCTAGTGCTTTGTTTGTAAGTTTTATTATGCTTGCTGTGTTTCTTGTGCTTTCGATGTTGAGTGTATGTTTGGCATAGGCTCATGATGATTTTGAATGATTTAGGGAGGGTTGCCAATGTATGTGGCTAGCCGAGGTTTATACAATCTGAAACCTCCCACTGTGTTTGTGCCTCCTTGCATCAAAGAGGATGTTGAGAAGCTGCTTGATATTCACAGGACAATGGGCCAAGTTGAATTGAACGCTGAAGTGGTTGCCTTGGATGTGGGTATGTGTCATTTGCGTTTCTTTAATGATCAGGGGTTATCTTCAAGGAAATATGATGTGTGAGGTTTCATTTCAGGGGAGACATATGAGATACGGAATAACCTTGTTGTCCGACCATTCAGAACGCAACATGTTATCCCCAGCCAGGTATCTTTCAACCTAACAGGCTGTAGCCCTTGTCTTTTAACTTATTATGAGTATATCAGTGTTAGACCATACCTCACTCCTTGTACAAAAACTTTTGAACAAAGAACTTGGCCCAAAGGCCAAAAATTAATCCATTTTGGCTCACCATAATTGTGTGGTCTTCTGAAGCGAATTCTGATGCTAGATATTTTCAGTCTGAAATTTTGTTAAGAATTGCCATCCCCATGGTTTGTCTTGTGAAGCTATGTACTTGTTTTTATTTTTGTGTTTATGATAATTTTTTTCTGTAGTTTGGACATCTCTGTTGTATTTTCTATTCTGACGGGGATAACATATTAATCATGAATCATATTCTTTAAAATCTATATTAAATTAAGAAAAAAGAACAATGAGAGTGAGTGAGTGGGCTTGAAGTGCCTGATTTTTTTTCCCCACGGCAATAATTGGGATTTAGGTAGTGTAACTTGGAACTGTGCAAGGATGCTTGTTAGTTGTTAGATCTCTTAGAGTAAGAAAAAATGCTTACCTTGTAATATTATGCAGGGTTATGTAGTCTACTCAATCAGGAAAAAGCTGAGGAAACAGTATGCTCACCTGAATGGGAAACAAATTGAGAAGTTGAAGAAGCAAGGTGTAGAGGTTTGTAATATCTGGAACTCAGTTCTGATTTAAACCTTCTATGATCTTTTTCTTTAATGAACTCTCCTTTCTAGATTACAGACATTATATTATCTCCTGAAGTGGCCTTTACCGGGGATACAACGTCAGATTTTATGCTTGACCCATGTAATGCTGATGCATTGAGAGCTAAAATTCTTATAACTGAGGTACTGTACCATCTTTTAACGAAATGGGTACAATCTTTTAATGAAATGCTTTGTATTCCAATGGTTTGTCTTCTTTGTTGTGTAGTTGTCATGGAATTGTTAGAGCCACATAAGTTGATATTGTCAGTAATGTTAGAGACTCTGGGTCTTGGTTTACTTGGAAGAAAAAGGAATTGAACTTTTCAAGAATGCTGTAGCTATCTTTGCAGTGTGCGCTGACTTCTTTATTTTATCTTAATTTTATTTGTTTAATTGTTTTGATTGTTGAAACTCTATTAATAGGCAACTTTCCTAGATGCATCAATCAACATAGATCATGCTCGGCAACATGGTCACACACATTTGTTTGAGGTATGTGATGTTTCTTTCTTTCATGACTATTATATTGTTTGCTTGACAAAATTGAGGCGAACAAAGTGGAGCCCTAATGCTTAGCTTTCCTCTTTTATGTTGCTATATCTTGTATGACTAGGGTAATGTTCATGTTTAATTCATAGCCATATTTATCATAATCTCTTTTTAATCAGAACTTTATTCATGGCTGAATACAGTTTTTACAGAATAGTTCAATCAGAACTACATAGCTGATCATATACCATGTTGCATTATGACTCAATCTCGTGCCATTTCAAGATAAAATCCTAGTTTCACACTGCTTATCCTTGTAATTGACTGATTCTCAAAAAGATGACTCTAATGCATATTATATGAGGAGTTCCTGATTAGTAATCGTGTTAATTATGTAGATCATGGAAAATGCTCAGTGGATTCGAAATAAAGCAGTTCTATTGACTCACTTTTCATCAAGATATACTTTAGAGGTAATGTTATATCCTTTTATAGTTCTATGGACTGCAAGTTGCATACCCCAAGTGCTCATAACTGCATGGTTACTAATTCGATGCAAAACTTCAAGATTTGTGAGTTCTCTGGACCTTCCTCTTGGATGGGCATATCCTCTTGCACCGCATTAAATAAGCATTTTATAAGGAATTGTGTCACTCTTTAATTAGTCAGTGAATAAAATAGGCTTTTTTTTTTTTCATCCCCAGGATATTCGTCAAGCAGCATCAAAATTGCAGTCCAAGCTATCTGCTAAAGTGGTTCCTCTTACAGAAGGATTCAAATCATTGTACACTTGAGTGTTCAAAATCATTTCTCTCTTTACCATTATCAGTATATCAACTAGTACAGAGAAAAAAAAAGTGTCATCAGTTGTAATTCCGTTTCATAGTTTTTTGTAAATTAGAGTGGTATATTTGTTTTTGGTTTTTTCTTAATCTGTAAGTTCTCTATTTATTCCTATGAAATCGAGTAGTCACTACTCGCTACCCTTCTGTAACTCACGGTTAGTACAGTGTTAAAGATGTTTCGCCCAACATTATGTCTGTTTCATATGTATATGCTATGCAACATTGGTTGATAGAGATGTTTTTGGTCTAACAGCTGTCATAGTTTTTGATTTGGGTATCTAATGTTTACTTTAAGAGTAAATACCCAATTCAGATTATGAAAACAATTGATCTAATTTGATCCTTAAAGAGAGAAAAAATCAATGTACCAAATAATCTTTCGAGATTTCAAATGAAAGACACTATTTTTTTTGGTAACAAAATGAAAGACACTATAGTTCTTCAATTATTTTCTTTTCATTTTCAATATATAGTCTGTCCCTAAAAGAGTGAGTGTGTATTAATTTAGTCCTTGACAAAATCATTACTTCAGTCACACAAATTGGTTCTAAAAAAATTAACATAAATTAATGGAACATCTGAACTATCTTGCTTATATCTATAATTTTGGAGAATTATTTGGTGGCTTTTATTTTTAGGGATTAAATTGGGTTGATTGGCTCTTTTCAAGGATTGAATTGAGTGTTCTTTTTTTTATTGGTGAATATTCATTATGCATTGTTTATTTTTCATGGAAAATCATTTCAAATTATTTTCTTTCTTATTGTGCCAAAATCCAAACACAGTTTATGCAATGAAGTGTATGTAAAAAGTTATAATGATCTCTTCCCTTAAAGAAAAGGAAAGTTATTATGACATTTTCATTACTTTTCAATCATCTTAGGAAATATTTCAGCACTCATATTGCTCCATACAAAGAGATACACCCTAATTATTAAAGATAGCTTGTACTTTACTTCTTCATTATAAGATTTCTTACTCGTGTGGCTCAATTGGTTCCCAATATATTTTTAGGTTGAAATTGGGTTCCTTTTCAAGTTAACTCAATCGAACCTAATTTTTCATCATGTTTTAAGTTTTTTTCTTCCTTTTTGAAAATTAGGCATGGAATAGTGCTTTTTTACTTAATTAATATGATAATGTTCATATAATTATACAAATTGTTTAGAAATATATATTGTAAAATATTTATTAGTTTTAATTTCTTGCAAAAATTATGACTTGACTATGAATAGTGATTGAATTTATATATTTTATTTAAATCTTGGACAATTAATTCCTCATCTGGTTAAACCAGACCTAACTCAGTCCATGAGCTAAATTAATTGTCCAACTTGAGAGGACCTTTTCTTCCTGCGAATATACAAGAAACACGTGCCTCACTCATCCCATAAACTGTGTAAACATAAATAGATGTGTGATAATGTATTTTATGCAAGAGAACAAATAAGAAAGACTTAAAAATCTTTACAAATATAAAAATTTAATATGAATTTTCTCATTGCAGTAACATATAGTCCTTTAAATGTACTTCATATTTAAGTAGCTGTGAATTAAAAAAGATTTACAATTTTATCTGTGTAAAAATGGCAAGTAATAAAATTATTTTATAAGTTTATGAATGTAAGGAAAAGATATTAATTCACCTAATGTAAGTGCTTTCAAAAACAAAAAATGCAAATATGAATAGAGCATACGTAAACTTAATAGCATAGTTTTGAATTAAGTTTAATATTAATGGCCAAAATTTAGAAATGTCTGGCTGCTTTTGGTCCACTGCATGATCTCGTGCATATTCGACTAGTTTTTATTTTTTATTTTTGTAAAACATAATTGTTTTTAAAAAATAATGAAACAGTAAAAATTAATTAATCTTAAAATAAACTAATTCAAATGCTTGTTTAACTATGTGTAAAATATAAATTTCTATATTTTAAATTAAAGGAATTCATAATAATTGAGCAAGCTAGTTGCACTATTATATTCTTAAGTTAATTTGGCAGCATTTTCTACATAAGCTGCGCCAAACTTGTGTCGACATCCATATTTAAGGACTCATATATGTGGGCCAATGGCACACTTGACTGATCAATGAACTGAGAATTATCATAAATTTGACTATACAATGCAAGAAAACAACAGTCAACAAATGGATAAACATTTCTGAAAAAGTTTGACATAATTGATAAATAGTTAAAATTTGTAAATATATTATTTAAGTTTATTTTTTATTATATATATAGAATTATTTTAAACAAATTAATTTAATAATGTATACATATTAAATATACATATTCAATTATCAAATAAAGAAATCTGTTATGAAAAAAAAAAAAATCCCATCCTCTCTCTAAGGAAACTAGAGCTTAAGAAGTAGTTTCATAAATTTATTTTAAAAAAAATTATAAACAAATGTCCTTAGAATGTTAATAAGAATTTTATAGATTATTTTTATTAAAAATTATAATAAAATTAATTTATAACACTTTTTTTTATTTCTTTAACTGATATAGATTATATGAAAAATTAATATGGAATTGAATTAAAATAAACAGTTGGATGTGACTATGTTACTGATATCCCACCTGCATTCTATTATTGTATTAGGATGTCGACTAAAAGGGGGAAAATATATATATTTTTTTATTAAAATCTTAGTGTGTGTATGAGTATATATATATTATTTTTTTTTAATAGTGTACCCACAAATATAACTTTTAGAATTACGACTTTAGGGTTTGAAATTCTAATTAACATAATATGTAAAGTTTTTTTTTTCTTTTCACAAACATCTTTTGGGGTATTAATTTGCTTTCCCTACCAAGCATAACTTAACTGTTTAACTTAATTAATAGCCAAAAATATTTTTAAAATATAAGCTACAATATGAAGCAAAATGAGTTCACGCGTGATTAAAAAAAAAGAAGAAGCTTTTTTACCTTAAAAATAAATTGATTTACCAAGTGTTTGGATTAATTTGTTTAATTTCTTTTACAGAACTATTAAAAATATTATTCTCTACTTTAAATCAGTTTCTAAATCTATGCTCAAACTAAAATTTACAAAATTAGAAGCTTAAAGTTAGCTTAATTTTGTTAAAGGGTTTTTTTTTTTTTTTTTGGAGGGGGGGTTCTTAAAATTAAGCATATTTAAAAATACAAATCTTAATTAAATTTGAAGATTCAAACTTAGCTTAGTTTTATTAGAATGTTCAAAATGAGAGTATGTTTACTTAAGGAAAAAAAAAGTACAGACAAAACTTTAAAACAATTGGAGAAATTCTTTTTCTCTTTCTGTCTTTGCTATCTATTTTTTTTTAGGAGCGTTGTTTTATTTAGAATTGTTAATCCAGACTTATGAAAACAGTAGTTGAATAAAAAAGAAAGGTTTTTTAAAATGATAATATTTTAAAATATTAATGTATTAAAATATACAAAATGATATACATTTTCATAAAAAAATTACTATATATAATTTTTTATCATCTAGAATCTTGTAAAAATAAAGAAGACCCACTAAAATTAGATAGTATTGAATTGACCTATAACAAATCATATTTGAATTAGGTTAAATAATTTAAAATAATTGGTCAAATTAAAGTAGAGATTACTTTTTGAAAATTCAATGACTCTAATATAAGTATTTTTTTCTAGCTTAATTAATCATTTCTTCATATATCAAAGATAGATGAGTGTTAGAAATATTTTTTTTAATATACTATTAATTATTAGTTAAAATTTATTAAAAATTATAAAAATACAATTGATAAGAATAAAACTTACATAATTTTTATTTTTAATAAATTTTAATAATAGTAAAAATATTTGATTAATATTTTTAATAAAAATAGATAGATAAATAAACACGTGTACGCATGCACACAATGATAATAAATATACATATTTAATAACAATTTTTTAAGAATTTTAATAATACAAAAAGTCTCCTACATAATAAAAATATTATAAATAATAATTACAACAATATTAAAGTATATATTATAATTATTAAATATAACACTTAATAGCAAAATGTAATCAATTTTACTCGTAAGATCGACTTAGATGACTAGTTACAAAAATTTACATCTTTAATAAATATATTATAAATAATAATTATAGTGTCACTGAAGTACATATTATGTTCTTTCTGCATAACATATTGCAAAGTGTAATTGATTTTACACATATATTACAATTTTTAATAAATTTTGATTATATAAAAAGTTACCAACTTAATAAATATATTATAAATAATTTAAGCAAAACATAAAGAAATTAAGCAAAATATATTATAAATAATAATTATAACATTTTTGAAGTATATATTATATTTCTATATTTTAATTAATTAATAATAATAATAAATAATTAATTAATATAAAAATATATTTATTTACGATATATGTATATAGGTAAAATAATTTTTATCCGAACAATAAAATATACTTTAAAAACAAAGGGAGACACGAGAGAAGGGTTGAGTTATTATGAAACAAATAATGATTATTTACCCAAAACTATGACAAAGGTTGAGTGTTAGGCAAGTAGTTGTACGAGATCTAGGAGAATATGAAACCTGGATTGTTCACGTGCCAACCCAGAATCTCGAAGCCCCCAAAATCCACCCAACCAATACACATAAACTCAAATTTCACCGCTTTTTCATTCATGATCATCCATTCAAATCCCTCTCTATAATTACAAAGGACTAATGCCTTCATCAAAATCCAGTTCAGTCACTACTATTACGGCTTCTACTTCTAACTTGATAACATCATTATCACGTTCCTCACGAAATTTCCTTATATAACCTCTCTCTCTGTTTCTTCTTTCCTCTTTCTCTCTTGCACCCCTTTCTTCTCTCCGCACCACACCCTCTTTCCTCGCTTTGCCGAAGCTCTGATTTTTCCTTTCCAATCGTTCATAATTTCACCTTTTTTTCCTGTTTTCTTTGATCTGGGTGTTTCCTTTATCGTGCTTCGAATCATTTTACCGTTCTGGGTCTTTCTCAGCTGTGGAAAAGATCTGATTTTTCGCCCTGTTTCTTGGTGAACGACCTTGTTGTGCGATTTCGTGATCTGGGTCTGAAGGGAATCGCTGCTATTGTTCAATTATGAGGAAAAGAGAGAGGGAGAATCCTTGTGGGGTGTGTGGCCACTATCACAAATACGAAGAAGGGGAAGTGTGTTCGATATGTGGCCACCGGATTCCGGTTGGATCGGAGAAATCTTCGATACAAGTTAGTGCTTTTCCTTCGATGATTTTGCCGGAATTTCTTTACCTAGGTAGCTATGATAACGCTTCACGCTCGGAGCTTCTCAAGACTCAGGGGATTTCTCACATCCTCAATGTAAGATGGGGCTTATTGATTTATAAATCCTTGATTGAATATGGTATTGTTGCAACTTGAGTGTTTCAATGAATGCTTTTTGCATGCACGTGTTGATGTTTAGAGTGAAATTATGAGTGTCTTGATTGGTTAAATGTCGAGGGGATATGTTTATTTGGATTTTTATGTGTTGTTTGAGATTTCAGTAATAATTGAGTAATTGTAGGTGGGGTGGTTTCAGTTACGGGTTTGCTCAACACCCATGTTGTTTTTAAGTGGCCAGTGCATGGGGGTGATGCCAAGTTAAACATTTAATTGTTGATAGATAGCAGATTTTGATTAGAGTAAATTGTCAAATTAATAACTGGTCAATGCATGGCTGATTTGGGGTGTGTGTGTGTGTGTGGAAACTCATGAAAATGAACTCGGAATTAATTTGATGCCTATACTGATTGCTTGATAGAAAGGAATTAGTTCTAATTGGACATATAGGAGGTTACTATAAGTTGAATGCAGAAGTTGAATAATAAACAATGTAGTTTCATGTAATATGCTCTGCAGTCAGTAAGAATAATAATGGCTTCAAGTCTTAGGAGCTCAAAATGGTAGTACTGAGGGCAAATGGATGATATCTCATTCCTTTTTTGTTCAGAGGTTGCACTTGAAATCTGCTTGTCCAAACCTGTTGAGTGTTTATTTTCTTATGCTGCCTTTTGAATTTTCTGCCTTTGCAGACTGTCCCGTCATGTCAAAATCTTTACAAGAACTCATTTACCTATCACTGCCTCCCAGATGACAAAACTTTGCCATTTGATGAAGCAATTCAGTTTTTAGGTATGTTCTATTTAAAGTTTATGTCTTATCATTTTCATTTTCTGGTGCTCTTTAACTTGTTGGTTTGCAATTTTTATAAATACCTACCAAACATGAAATCGCATTAGACTTGGGATATTTATTCTTCTGCATCTCAAAAACTTTCTTATCCCCTATGCTGCAAAAATCTTGCACTTCTGAAATCATTTTCATTTATGCTGCAATAGCACATAGTGTTGTCAAAATTGCAATCTATTATGAGGTTGCATGATTTCACAGTTTTAGCAGGCATTTCTATGTTGGGTTGGAGGTAAGATACGAAACTTGGTGGGATCTGACTAGGATCACTGACCTTCCTTGCAAGATCATGAGATCTGCAATTTTCTGCAAGTTGAACAAAGCTGATATGATTGGGATTCTGGATCAGGTTTCGTGACCCAATTTGTGGAAGGAAAACCTTGAAACCCACCTCTCATGCAACACCATTCAAACCCAATTCTTCCAACCTTTTGATCTTGTTTGACTTATCTTGCCCATTCGTTATCTGTTGTTTTGAAGTCACATCTTTGATTGGATATTTGATCTGAAGTTCTTTGGTCTGTCCGAGGCTTCTTTCTGATCTGTTTGGTAATTATATTATCATATTTTTATGTTAAGACATTTTTCTATTAGGTAGGATTTTATGACCTGTGTTATGATCTCCCAATTTACAATCTTTCATCTCTTTCTTGACTTAGTTAAGATATCGATTTTGACCACTTTGATCGGAAAACATTAAGGTTCTTGAATGATTTTGCTTAGTACTTTCCATGCCATCAGGTATCTTTATGAACCACTATCCTCCTTTCTATCATGAACCAATCTGCTACACTTTATTATCGACCACTCTACTCTTCCAAACATACCCTTTAATTACTATTTCCCTTTCCATCCACCTTTTCCTATCTTTTTATTTCTACTAGTGTTCTCTCTCAAAGTGACCCGCATAAAGTCAATCTTGAAGGAAGCTCCTTCAGCAATTTGATTATTTGAGAGAATCCTCACTATCTGTCAGTCTATCAGACTCACAGTGGTTTCTTATAATGTTTCTCATCACAGGCATCCTTATTTATCTCTGACTTCTAGTCTCTTTGATACTTTTAGGATTCTTTGAAGAGTCTAAAACTTTCAGAATAGTGCTCATAATCAAGTTGCAATAAAGTACTTTTATTATGTTTTCTTATCAGTGAGCACCATACTGATTGATGTAATGAGATAAATACCATGGTGGGAGAAACTTAAATCTTGAATAAAATTAATATATAATTTAATCAGACAATGCAGATGTAGTTTTATTGTAAATTACTTTGATATCAGCAAGGTTAATGCAATATTAGGTAAAAAGAACCAAAAATCACATTCATGTATTCCAAATTCTGTAATTATCTTATCTTTTCCTTAATGAGTTTGTTTTTTAATAATTTGTAATGAATGTTGGGTGGTAAAGAGCCCACAAGTGTGTAAACACAGTCAGGCAAACATGAGAATGTTGTACTGGACGAGTGGACGACTGGACATACAAGACTGCAGTAGGAACGGATGAATTAGAGAGAAGATAGGGGGATAGCACCTATCGAGGACAGTTGTTCTATCCTAATTTGTCATTGATGTCGATACCTTGACAAGTCTGCAACAACATTGAGAATATTTCATTTTTTTCACCAAAGCCCCTAACTGTGCTTTTTACCTGGTGCCCACCAAACTGCCCCAACTTTTCTTCATTATTGTTAATAGTGGATGGGGAGACATGTTTACAACTTCAGATTGTGGGGTCTTATGGAAACTTTTGAATGTATGTACATCATTGAATGATTAATCCTTACCTACAGTCCCTCTTTTACAAGGCTTTATTTGAACTTGCTATCCCTCTGAATTCCTCTCTCATTTGATTTAGTTTTCTAATTTGGGCTACATCTAACTCGACTCCTAAAGTTAGCTCATGAAACAAAGATTATCCAAGCATTTATAAGTTTTAATTTAGCCATATCTATAATTGACATGGGATCAGTACACACCCCTTACACCTAGGACTGAATATTTGGAGTGTGGAAATTGTATGACTAATCTTTTTTCTTATACATTTATATAATACATTGGAAAAGTCACAGGACTATGTTGATTGCATTGAAAAATCTGTGGGTCTAAGTTCATTTTTTGATTGTTGACGGTAACCCAATATTAGTTTTATGACAGACTCTGGTACCATTTTAATTTAATTGGGGTTAGGCCTAACTCAATTCTAAAAATTAGCTTAAGATGAGAGGACTGTTTAAATATTTATAAGCTCTGCTTTGACTATATATAATTGATAAGGGATCTCAATAAGTATGAACGGCCATTACCCATTATGACAATCCCTGTTTGAGTTGAGTTCTATATTCTATTTTACTAATATTTGTCTTCCAGAATATAAGCAACCTAAAATGTTGACAACATTAACACTATATTAAATATAAGTAACACTTCCTACATTATTACATCTTGTATTGAGTTATGACGTTTGATTTGGATGTTGTAGGTTCTATTTGTTTTAAAACTAAGTAGAACTGATTTTGAACTGTTGAATGTGATTGTGATATTTGCCAAAATAATTCTTAGCCATAGATTTTTATTGGAACTTGTTTTTTCATTAGAAAGTGTGAAAATTGATTTTTTAACTGTAAACTAAATGGGTACTAAAACTAAATAATCAATTGATTCATTGTTTTACTGTTAACATTACTATTTTCCCCCCTGTATTTCTTAATTTTTACCCTTTATATTGAAAACAATTCTGTGTGCTTGCTTTGCAGAACAATGTGAGAATGATAAGGAGCGTGTTTTGGTTCATTGCATGTCAGGAAAGAGTAGGTAAGTTATTGCTGCAATGTGCTGTAAACATGGTCATGACATTTGGCACTTATTAGTTTGAATTAGTTAGTGATGACCCAAACAAAATGAAAGGGAATTTTTATAGAGGTTATTCTGCAGGCTTGCAAATGAGGGTGAAATATATATAAATGTAATAGTTTTCTCTGAATCCCATGTATCCTATGACAGGTCTCCAGCTATTGTAATTGCATACTTGATGAAGTCCAAAGGATGGAGACTTGCGCAGAGTTATCAGTGGGTAAAGGAACGGAGACCTTCTGTTGAATTAACTCAAGGTATGTCTACTGTTTCCAGTTTTTCTTGCAATCTCAAGTAAAATCGCCAGATTTCAGTGTTAGTCAATTGAAGACTTTTATCTGGCAAGTTATTTATTTGAAGACGGTTGTGGAAACTTATTCAAATTATAATCAACTATGATTTAATACTTGATAGTGGTCTAAAAAATTTACAGCACAAGAGATGCTAGATTGATTGTAAAAAAAAACTAGTGATTTCAGCTGGAGATAGTGATGAATTATTAAAAGATCATGTAATATGGGTGGGTGATTGTGACGTAAGTTTGATATGTGCCTTAGAAATTACTTTGGACTTGCTTGGGACAGCCCCTCATCGGGTTGAAAATATCAACATGGAATCGTGGATCTACTTTTAAATTGAGAATTCTCCCTGTTCTTTCATCTCTGACTTAGAAACTAGGTTGGGTTCTTTGTCTTTGAGAAGGGTGTATAGGAGGATGGCTTCACTAATCATCTGAATACTTGCTATTTTCATTCTAAGTTCAGTGTTATTTTATCCTTTGAAAGCAGTATGTTTTATGTACCATAGCAGATATTGTCCTCACATTAGAGAATTTAATCTTTGTATTTCATCATTTCGTAGCACTATTGTGCCAGTGCAATGCATCATGCAGCCCATTTTGACACATAGGCCATCATGACCACAACAGATAAAGCCACATTATGACTTGGGGGCTACCCCAAAGGTTTTCCAATTTTGAGGTAGATAAGAATAAGATAATATGCTTGGCTACCCCCAAAATTATTGTAAATGTGATACATTGACAAATTAAGACCTTTTTAACAGTATTATATCTGTATTCTTTTGAACTTTCATTGATCTTATAATTTGGCTGCCCCAAGAAATATTTTTTTGTTTATGCCTTTGGTGGCCACTATTGATATGAAAGACACACACCCCCCCTCCCCCCCTCCCCTCCCCTCTTCCTGTAATGTTCCTTCAATCTTATCTTGAACTTAAAGCAGGTTACCTTTGGACTTGCAGCAGTTCACTTGTTTGGCCATCTGCATGCTAGTTTTTTTCCTGCATTAAGCCACAGTTTTTCTTGCAACCCACTAATTGCTATTCATTGGGTTGGTTTCAATTCCAACAAAACCTGTTCTCTGTACCTCTGTGCCTACCTCTGTCATAGGCCTGATTCACGCATGTCTCTGTCTCTGTTTCTATTTATTCTTTATTTTGCCATGCATTACTTTACTTCACTGGTCATCTGCCCACCAAAATTGACGCATGAGTTGTTGTTGTTATGTTTTGTTTTTCTATTTATTCCATTACCTTAATTTTCTCTCTTCTTTTTTAATACTTCATTCCTCTGTGTCTTCCCCTTGGTTCCCATGTGCTTCTTGACTTTTGTCATTTTATTATATTTACACTTAAGAATTAGATAGATGGTGTATGTGGACTATGTCACTTTTGATTATTAATGTTGCATATTCTCTAATTTTGATATCTTTTCAAAAGTAAATTGAGCTTTATTAAAGGTGCAGTATAAATTATTTAACCTATATTCAAAATCTTTGGTTTGGTATAATGGTCATCCTATGATTAGTTATCCCTCTATAGTTGTTATGATGTCACATTTAGGTTATAAATATAGGTAGAGTGCTCCTTATCTTTCTCCTATAAGTTAACATTTGAAAGTGAGGCAGGCCTGACCTTTTAATATAGTATTACAATTGACTGTTGGGTCATCTGCAGATATTTAGTTCTGTAAATTTCACATACTAGATGTCTAGTCCTAAGCTTATTATGATGTTTTACATCAGTTAGGAATAGGAATATAGACATAATATTTCTTGTAAGATTTAGACAATTTTCTTCTAATGAGCTAGTTTTTGAGAGTGAATTAGGCCTAATTTTCTAATTAATAGTATTTTTGGAGTTCATGAAGAGTTGGAGTTTATTTGTGTCATTGTTTTAAACTTTTATAAGCCTATTATCAAGGAGGTATATTTCCCCATCCCTGGTTATTCCAAATGAAGCAACCATCTTGAGTATTTTGTTACAGCAATAGAAAAAAAGGTTTTTGGTAGTAACATAAGTTACACAATGCAAATCCTGTTGGAATTGATGTTGATGTACGTTTTTCTTCATCAGTTATGATGATGAGGGTGAATTATTTCTGGGTTTGGTTTCTCTTCATGAGGGTAATTAATAATTATCACCTTTCTAACATGCATACTTCATCTTTTAATGTAGGTGTCTACCAGCAACTGCAGGAGTATGAGCAAAAGATCTATGGACCAATCGACAGTGGCAGCTCTCTACTACCCAATTTCTCTCCTATCACACCTCCTTCAATCAGCTTCGGTTTCCCAAAGGTCAATGATCCAACTCAGCTTCCTTCCTTTAGCACTGCCGGAACTCCTTCAATTTTCGCCCGAGCACCCCATGACGTTGCTCCCACTGAGTTTACGTTTGGAGCAAGTCAGACACAAAAGAGTGTGACTGGAAGCCCCTTCAATGCAAATCCACCTAATCCAAATGGTACTGATATCCAAATGGATGGTTCTTGATTCTCACCACCATGTGTGATTAAGCTGCTTGACGAATTGGCTTGTGGTAAGGTTACAGGTTTAAGTCAAGGTGCAACAACCATAAGTGACTTGTCAATTCTATACGAAGTTCTTTTTCTCATGTTTTTTTTTTAAAATCTTCTCATAGTTATCTTTGGCTGTAGTATTGAGTAATATCATCTTTTGGCCTCGTGCCTCTGCCTCAGTAGATCTTCGCTAGACACTATCCACTTTTCAATATTACAAGGAAAATTTTATCTGTTGAGTATACAACATTAAACAATCTTCTTGTGGAACCGCTGTTCTGAAATATACAAAATTCATAGACAAGTTTTTAAAATTTATTGTGAATTTTTCACCATTCTAAAGTAACCATAAAATGCATAATATTTGGTGGCTGAATGTGATTTTTCGATATTTATTTTCTGCACTATTACATTCCGCTTAACATTAGGACGTGCTCCATCATTCTCCACCAATGAGTTTTTTTCTCTTATGAATGATTGAAATTAAAATATAAAAGTCATGTGATAATTTTAATTAGTTATGATTTTTTTAAATGATTATGACATTTAAAACTTTTAATCTTAACTATTTATATATAATGGTAAAATTCAGATAATTTTGAGTATGATTGTGAGCTTTATGCAAAAGCCTAGTCAAATCATTTGCAACTCTACAAGGTAACCACCATTCTTTCATGGTTTACCCCTCGTGTCTCAGGCTTGAACAAGTATATGTTTTGATTTATGTTTATTGTCCTTTCGCCTTCAAATATTTTCATAGCATTCAAATTAGTCGAAATGGACTACGTTTTGCTTTCTCCTCCAAGATTGGAGTTTCCTCGCGCTGATTTCTTTTGAGAGGACGGGCCGAACCTTAAGGTAATAATAAGATTGTCACCTTGTTATTTAAAGGATATGGGTTTGTATAAATCTTGGAAATAGTTACTCGAATAAGATTGTGTACATCTATTTTCTTATCCTAAACGCTACTTGATGAGAGCCTTGTGCTTTTCTCTTTATGTTTCTTTCAAGGTTTTATCATTTCTATTTTTGAGACAAGTTTATGTAAAATTTTATTTTGGATAGCCTTTTTTTATGGCTATTGATAAAAAGATTAGTTGTCTGAAAAATTATTTGCTCTCGTCCTTTTTATAGACTATTTTTAAAATAAAAAACTTTATAATTCAGGACAGTACACATTTCCTAAACAGGTGCAAAAGTCAAACAAAAGATTAACTCCTCCACTAATGGATCACGAAGGTTACATCATATTAAGACTTCTTATTATTAACTAAGTTCATTAAAATAAAATTTTCGTTGTCATAAATTCTTACCTAGTTTGTCATTCTCTACAAGCATTTTCTTGCACTTACTTTTACCTCTGTACAAGGCACAACCCTTTCAATTTAGAGCTCACCAGAAAACATTTATGAAGGGGGTTCAACCTCGTAAACCTTTTATGATTAAATATGACAAAAGAAAGAGGGAGAATTAATAAAACAGTTCTGTCATTTAAAGATTAAATAATTAACATTGTATTTTTTTCCCTGAGAGAAGAGGCTAGAGAACTGAGAGAAAAGAAATGTTAATAATACACTTCTATCACACATAATTTACATGATTGATTTTTTTTTTTAATTTAAAATACTTACATCCTAAATCGATATATATTTTTTAAAAATTATTGCAATGCTTTTAAAAAACTGACCAATTAAAAGAGGTAAGTTGAAAAGTATATTTGAAAAAGTGTGTTCTTAGCATCCTAGGAATACACCAGCACCAAAGTTGTCCAAAAAGAAAGAAATAGAAACAAAGGAATAAGAAAGTTTCACTTGACAGTCCAAATGGTGACCATGCTTTGCATTAGAGTCTGCCACAGCATTTTCCTCGCGCAGCACATGATAGTATTTATAGATGTAATTAAATTTGTTTAGAAGATTCTTGATTAGAGATTTCAAATGATGGCAAGGATGGGTTAAGGGAACCCCACTTCCAAAAGTCTGATTGCATTCCAAGATTCTGATTCAATGATGAATTTGGAGGATCCTTGGATCAAATATAATCTAGCTCAGCGTTTATAATTAAACATGTTCCTAGGTTGCCCTAAAATACAGCAATGAAAGATCCAGCAGGATTACCAAGAATACCACCACAAGCTACTTTTTTATTTAAATTGGAGATGAACTGCACGGATCAACTAACAGATATAATTAACATCGTATGTAATGTTATAAATAATTATCTCTATTTTTTTATATATACGTTTCAAAAATATTTTTTAAATAAAAAATCCTTGATAATCCATGAGGCTTTCATCTCGACAAAAGGTTACCCACACACACAATCTTCAATTGGTTGCTGCTATTTGAATTCAACAATGCAACACACAATTGCTTTCTCCCATGCTAAATGAACTATATGTAAATAGTATAAAGGATACAGAACTGTAACTATATGTAAATGAGCTATATAACTTTAATGTAATATGTTAAAAAACAAAGACGCATCACAGAAATCCTACCATTGCGGTATTATAAATACACCATTGCGGTATATAACAATAGGATTGCAAACTTTTGACATGCATTGTAGTCATTTGGCCATTTTTTGAGACTTCACTCATCTCATAAAGTATTTCCCCTAGTTTAACGATAGCTACCAATATTTCGGAAATCCGTTAAGTGCGTAGTTAGAGCAATATTTTAAGCAAGGTACAATAATTGTTAACCTAAACTCATGCCAACCGAAGAAAAACAGAGTAACATTTCCAAAATTTAAAAGCATTTTTATTACATGAAGTCCCACTAATTATTTTCTGGATCCTACATTACTCAACCATGACTACTCCTTAAAAAAGAACGAAAATAAGCTATTTAATCCAAAATGAATTCTGCAAATCTCATGAATAGGACCAAAAAAGAAAACAAAAACTGGACTCTAGACTTGGCAACCTGAAAACAACAAATAGATTAGCCTAAACACGCATAAAAATCTCTTATTCTTTTTCTTCATGCGATATCAATGCCCCAACACATTCACATTGTTGTGTGCAATATCAGGAGAATCCTCATAATCACGAGACCCTTCTTGGAAATGAGAAACGACGTGGTGCTTCGCGGCCTTGAAAGTGTCATCAACATCAGCATAGAGTCCAAGATGGTCATCTTCACCTGTGCATTCTTCCACTCCATCCGAACCTTTGGATTGACAACCTTGACCCTCTTCTCGCTTGAATGCATGAATGGATGGCCCCGAGTCATCATCATCATTACTCGCCTCAGTGCTCTTCATGCACCACAAGCTAACCACTAGTATTCCAAGACCAAACACCAGCATTACTCTTGAATATTTGGCCATTGCTATTAGTATACCAGCTTAGTTAATTTGCTTTTCGAGAGTGATGCAGGAAGCATGTTTGAAAAGTGTGTGTTGGGAATTTAAAGCCAGTGTTGTGTGCTATTATTGGAGGAATTAACGTCGGTATAGGTCAGGGATGTGCTTGTTTTGTTAACAGTATTGGAACTGGTCTTAAGGTAGATCCACTTGAAATTAGAAACATGAAACGTGTTATGCCATGCGTATAAAGTTGTCACTACAAACGTGGGAATCTGAATGGGAAATGAGAAGTGACTATCAGCTATTTTTAGGACGCGTAAGTTTTGTAGAAGTGTATCTAACTAAAATGTGTACAAGTCATATCACTCGATTGCACTCGAGAGTGATTAATTGTTTCTTATGAAATAATTGTTTATTTTTTCAATTATTTTTTTAATAATTTTTAATTTTAAAAATAAACTAAATTAAAACAGTAATGGGCACTATTTCCTTGCACCACGCATATGAAAGCACAATATTTTCATGTTAAACAATCCGAGGGGCGCCAATGATATCCATCCTCCTAATACTTGGTGCTCCTCTAATAGAGAACAGCAGACTTTTTCCTTTTGTTATTGAAAATTTTTTATCCGTCTTATTGGATTAACAAATTAAATTGTTGAAAATAATGACAACATAATTGTTTTTTTCATAATTTGAGAACTGGGACTGTATATTGACATGTTTTTAATACATATATAATGCACTTCAATTTGCAAATAAATAGGATGACCAAATAAAAATTTGCAACTAAGTAGTGGCCGGGCGTAGTAATTTTGTTAGAAAAAATATATAAATAATAGAAATGCATTTTCGTGAAACGACTTACAAACGAAGCGAAGATATAAAAATTAGGCAATCATGCTTGAAACAAAGTTGAAAAGGGAGGTGGCATACAAAATAGACTATGAAAAAGCTTATTCTCGAGTTAACTAGGATTATCTAGAGTTAATCATCGAAAACTTTGGCTTTCTGTGATTGAATAATGCAGCTTATAATGTGGTGCCTGACATTCTTTAATCATGCTCGGAAAAAAGTTGAAAAGGGGTGGCGATATACAAAATAGACTATGAAAAAGCTTATGCTTGAGATAACTGGAAGTATCTCGAGTTAATCACCATAAACTGTCGCTTTCCGTGATTGAATAATGCAACTTATAATGTGGTGCTTGACATTCTTTAGTCTATATATCTTTATGTAAACTTTAAAGAGGACTGGAGATTCAGAGGGGGGGGGGGGATGCAAGAATTTGTTAGAGACAGAATACGAACTTTGTCTATATATGATGCATATGTCTTAATAACTTTCCTCGTTGAGTCATCACTGTAAGGACATTCCATCTATCTTATAGAATAATGCAAAGATAGACAATTTCTGTAAATCAATGGGGGCTTACGCTTAGATAGAAAGTTTTGGATAAGTAGGGCCTATTCTTTCTTCAAAGAGTTAATGATAAATTTAGCTGTCTATTTTTTTAAAAAGGCTATGTTGATTATTACTCATAAATAAATGCCTTTTTTCTCTAAAATGCTCTTATTATTAAGTTGATCAGCTAAAAATAAATTAAAAAAAAAATTTAGATAAAAATTAGTCAAATAAGAGTAATAATAAATACATAAGAATGGTCCAGTATTATTGTTGTTGTGAAAAGACGTGCTAATTATTTTCCTCGCGACTTATAATTCTGAAATTAGACTTATCACATCCACCTTGAATGGACTTTGGAAGGCTTTACAATTGAAAGTCAATTTTGACAAGTCTAGAGCCATGTGCTCCCAAAGTGCATCTAGAGAAGAAAGTAAAATTCCCACATCTCCTTAAATTAAGATCCTGGGACTAACTTAGGCTTGCTTTTCTTACAGGGGAGTATTAAGAAGTCTTTGTTTAATTCAATCTTTGAGAAAATTCAAACACGTTTAGCATCATGGAAGGCGAAGCTTTTTGGTGGAGCAGGTAGATTGCCGCGCAAAATCAGTAATATCATCTTACTCCAATCTATACAATACAAACAACTTGCCTTTCTATGGATGTTTGTAGCAAAGTGGATCGTTTAACAAGGAACCTAATATGGGCCAAGCATGGAGCCACTCGTAGTACACTTAATTGGGAGGTTGTCAAGTATCCTTGACAAATAGGGGATGCTAGTTATGACAGGGATACTAGCTAGAGCATTGAATATTGCCCTCCTAGAGAAGTTAGTGTGTAGATATTGATCCGTGCATAGGACTAATTATTGGTGTAGGCCTTCAAACATAAATACTTTCATTGGAATAATGATATCATCAATGACTGCTCCTTTAAGCCCCTCCACAATTTTGCTTGGTCAATGTCCTTGTAAATGTTACCATTTGGCATGAAGACTAGCTGGGTAGAGCCTCTATGTAACTTGATAGATATTGTACACATGCATGTTTGACTCAGCTTTATACTAGTATATGAAGACCTTTAGGTGAACAGGTTTTGGAATCTTGAAAAACCGACGACACATTTTCAATCATGCTCAAGACCGGATTTGGAAATTCTCGCGTTCCACGTATTGAAAATTAGGTGGATTGTTGGGTTTGGAAGGGTGTGAATGCACGTATAAGTATTTGTTGGAGGCTATAAACGGCTCTTGAAAACATGCATAACGATAATGGAATGAGGAAAAGTCTTATAGTGGTGGGTGTGGAAGGTCGTTGCTCTTGAGAAGATGAAGCTCTTAATTTGGCTAACTTCCACAATGCGCTCCCAGCAAATTACTTTAGCATGCATAATATGCTTCTTGCTAGTGAGTGATCCCTTATGTCCGGATACTATATTACATGTATTTTGATTTTTTACTTAAACAAGGAAATATTCCTTAAAAATATATTTTCTTTTGAAATTAGTTTTTATAATTTTTTTTATTGTTGAATTTAATCTTGTAATTTTATTTTAAAATTAATAGTCCTAAGAGTCTTGAAGTAATGAGTGTTCTACATCGTGAGATGTTAGCTTTGAGCTTAACAAAAATAAAAATAAAAATAAATAATTACTCTAAAAATATATTTTTTAGAATTAGTCCTAATTAAATTTTTATTTTAGTTTTAGTTTTATAAAATTTTAATTTTTGAAAAATAACATGCAACTATTTGAAGTTTCTTAATTTTGCTTTTATTATTATAAAAAAAACATTATATATTCATATTATTTAAGGTAAAATTAGATATAATTAGAGTAAGTCTTTTTATTTCATATATAACGAGAATATTTACGTTATTTTAATGGATGAAAAATAGAAACATAGGTAATGAGAAATACAATAAAGTAAGTTTTTCTATCCACACAATTCAACTTCTTTTAATTATTTTAATTTTTTTTAAAAATAATATTTTAATTTCATATATTACTGACTCATCAAGTATTTAAAAAAATATAAAATACTACTTAAA